TGGAGATCTGTTTTTATCTGTTATATGGGTTCCATTTGTTTCCTATGTTGGGATTCCATCATGTTCCTCAGCTCCTCTATTTTTTTATCTGTCTCTGCTCTAGATTTATTAATCATGTCTTGCACTATGGGATCAATCTCTGGTGTTATCTGATAAATTACTTCTGATTTCATTTTTTCCAGGTCCTCTTTTGTTGCCAGTTCAGGGAGTCCAGGTGGTTGAGTATCAGATTGTTCCATCTCGTTTCCCTTTGAGGTTGCCTTAGGTGATCTGGAAGTCTGGTTTTGGGACTTGTTTCCATGTCTTCTCATTTCAACACATGCAGCTTGCTGTGCCTTTGGTGAAGCAACTTTTTGCTCACCCAGTGGTTTTTTTAATTCTCAGCGAGCCACCGAGCAGCCTTTTCTCTGCTGCTCACCATTACACCAGTTCCTGGGTTCAGAATGGTGCCCTTCTGAATCCCTGACCTCACCTGTTGTCTAGGCGAGGCTTCTGGCTGGGACCTATGCACACTTGGGATGGTATCTAGGTGTGCCTCTTGCTGGGGCCTCTATGTACCTGTTGTCTGGGAAGGCCTGGCTGGGGGCTGTACACCCCAGTTCTTGTTGTTTGAGCAGCATAGGGTCTCCACTCACTTATCATTGGTATCAGGATTAGCCTCTGGCTGTTGCTTGTGTGCCTGTGTAGCTCTTTTCCAGGCAGGACTTTGACTGTGGCCGATGCTATAGAGCAGTCCTCTGGCTGAAGCTTGTGTGCCTGTGCAGCTCCTTTCTGGGCAGGCCTTTGGCTTGGGCGGGTGTGCCTGAGCCTCTGGGGTCAGGGCAGAGCCCTGGTTGGGATCTGTCTGCAGCTGTGCCTGCTGCTCTGGACCACACTGCTCCCTGGGATCTGCACTATGAGGCGGGCCTTGAGAGAAGCAAATTTGATAATATGTTAACAGGTGAATATAGAGGATAGGAGTATTGATTGTATTATTCTTTCAGCTTTTCTTAGTTTTCAGGTATTTCAAAATAAAAAGTTGAGGGCTGGGGATTTGGCTCAGTGGTTGCACTGCCTGCCTCACAAACTCAAGGGCCTGAGTTTGATCCCCAGTACCAAAAACAAAAACAAAATAAAAAGTTGAGAGGGGGATACAGATTTATTACAGAGCCAGGTGAGTCACCCTGTGAATTGTCACCATTTTCCTGCAGTAGGAATCAGCCCCCTATTTTGAGACAGTAAAGTTCGGAGGATCAGTGAGCAACATATGATCTGTAGATTGCAGTTTTAACACGCTGTCTTCTGTCTCTGTGCCAATTTTTTTTGTTTTGTTTTTTGTTGTTGTTGTTGTTGTTTTTTGAGACAAGGTCTCACTATGTAGTTGAGACTGACCTGGAACTCACTATGTAGCCCAGGCTGGTCTTGAACTCACAGCGATCCTCCTGCCTCAGCCTCCCAAGTGCTGGGATTAAAGGCGTGCGCCTCCACGCCCGGCCTCTGTGCCAATATTTAAACTGAAAAAGGAGAGAGAAAAAAAGCAAGTAAGCAGGCAGGCAAGCAAGCAGATGTTTAGAGCTTTTTCCTTTAACTGGGGATTTTGGCTTTTTCACAGACATACACTAGGAATAATACTTCCTTAACGAGTCATTTTATCTTTACTGTGCATAGAACAGAAGCTAATACTGTACACTCTTGGGCAGTTTCCACATATTCTGCTAACCTTGAATTCTGTACTATATAATTCAAAGTGACTGTAAAGTGGTAAGACTTTTTTTTTTTTAAACAAACATGTGATAGCTCATCTTTGCAAAGGAGTATTACCCTTCAGTGTAATCCTTTTTTAGTAGCCGTGTCCTTATTCTACCTGAAGTGCATCTTACTAAAACAGTTTGGGAAGTTCTTGAAATTCTGAGAGGCAGGTCATCCAGTGTCAGAACAGAGAAGATGCTAGGCCTCCTCCATACCATTCTTTCTGGTTAGATTGGGTTTGTAGTAGCCAGGTTCATAAATGAAAGGACATAGACAAGCTAGAGCAAGTCCAGAAATGAAGTCATACAGAAGAGTTGACAGAACTAAGGCTGTCAGTCTGGAGACAAGACCATTCACAGGGGCATGCTCACCCCCCACCCCAGTATCTGAGTAGTATTTTGTGGAAGGACATTTTACTTCTTGCTGTGGCCCTGGGGTTATAAAACTAGATGAACTCATGGAAGTCTCAGAGAAAACAGTTTGGTTCCATATTAAAAAGAATTTCCTACCACTTGGTACTGTCAGGTTGGAATGCACACTTGAACCCCTCGTCTCAATAGTTGTCCATTTACAGACCAGATGACCACGTAGGAGAGAGGTCATAGAGCATAGACCAACACCGGATGGTAGTTGAAGTGAAACAGGTTAACAGTATTGAGGCCCCTCTAAATGAAAGTTTGTTAATTATCCCAGTGACCTAAAACTTTCTCTTCAATCCTAAAATCTTAAATAGAACATCTTTCCTGCACATCTTAACAAGGTAGCAATATGATTTAAATTTCATCTTATGAAACATCTTACATAGAGTCATGCTTCTGTATGCTGGCCTGAGATTGTTGATTGTTGTACTTCTTTGAGTTTTTTTTTTTAAGTTTATTGGTACATTTTAGGTATACATTATGATTGCATTCATCATTGGGAATTTGTACCTGTACATGATATGTCTTGGTTCTTGTTTTTTCCATTCCCCTTCTCTCCTTTCTACCCTGCCACTCCTCCCTATTTACAAAAGTTTTGCTTCTGTTTTTCTTTTCTCACATTTTTCTTTCCCTTCTCCGCCCCTACCCTCACCCCAGTTACCCTTTCCCTCTGAACCCTTTCTTCCTATTTCACAATATCTATTATACATTTTGGTCCTCATTTATACTTTCAGTTTCTCACACTAGACAAACAATTCAGTATTTACACGTTTCCTATTTATTTCACTTGAGTATGGTTTCAAGGCCCACTTAGCTACTGATGTCTCTAGTTTACATTCTTTATGGCTGAATAGTACTCCATCTTATTTTTTTAAAACCACGTCTTTTTTTTTTTTTTTTTTGGTACTGGGAATCTTTATTAAGTCACAAATTGATGGGTATTTGGGCTGTGTCCAAGATTTAGCTATTACAAAATGGGCTGCTGTATCCATGGATGTGAATGTATCACTGTAGTATGATGCTTTTAATTCTTTTGGGAAGATACCAAGAAAGGGAATAGCTGGGACAAGAAACTTCTAGTTTTAGTTTTTTGAGGAATCTCCACAGTGATTTACACAATAGTCGCACCAGTCTGCACTCCCACCAACAGTGGAGAAGGGTTCCTTTTTCCCCACAGTGCCACCAGCATTTGTTGTTTGCTTTCTTGATAGCAGCCATTCTTTCTGGAGTGAGGTGGAATCTTGACATTGTTTTTATTTGCATCTTTCAAATGACCAGTGATGTTGAATGTTTTCCTATATATTTTTCTTTTTTGGTGTTTTTGTTGTTTGTTTTTGAGACAGGGTCTCACTTTGTAGTTGAGACTGACCTGGAACTCACTATGCAGCCCAGGCTGGTCTCAAACTTATAGCAGTCCTCCTACCTCAGCCTCTTGAGTGCTGGGGTTACAGGCACCACCACTAAGCCCAGCTGTTTTCTCATATCCTTATTTGCTGCTTCTACTTAAGAAATGTTTGTTCATTTCATGTGCCCATTTTTTGATTGGGCCTTTATATTTGAGGGGTCTGGTTTTATTATGTTTTTTGTTTTGTTGTTTTTTTTGTGTGTACCAGAGATCTAACTTGGGTCCTTGCGCTTGCGAGGTAGGCAACAGAACCACTGAGCTAAATCCCCGGCCCTTAAGTTCTTTATTCTAGATAGTAGTCCTTTGTCTGAGGAACAGCTGGTAAAAAATTTTTCCCACATTGTGTTGTCTCTTCACTCTGTTGGTGGTTTCTTTTGTGCAGAAGCTTTGTAATAAGATCCCAGTTGTTGGTTCTTCTTTGAGGTTTTCTGACTCCTTTTTACAATTTTCTCCCTTTTGGTTGAGCTGTCATTTTTCACACCTGTTTATTCTGTTACTTTTCTTTTGCTGAGACACAATACCTGACACACAAGGGAAAGGAAGAAAGGGTTTTTTCAGCTCACCATTTGAGGAGGTTTCAGTCTATAGTCATCTGGATGCAAGATATGATAGCCTGGCAGAGGGACATCACAGAGGAGAAGCAGCTCATGGTGTGGCAAGAAGGCAGCAAAGCAGCAGCAGCAGCAGCAACAGCAGAAGGGAGCCTGCCTTTCCCTTTTATGTCAAACAGGCTACCCCTTTATGGGTCATGCCACCCACACCCAAGGTGGAGTTTCTGTCTTTAGTAAATGTACTCAACCACACCTAGAACTATGCTAATTCCAATCATTGAGCTAATTTAATACCACACACCCATATTCCTAGTGTCATGTACCCTAGATCCACTAGCTTAAAAAAGCCTGACCTATGAGTGCATGAGGCTGAGGGAATGTGTAGATACAAGCCATAAAGACACCTTAGTGTTACTTTGTTGCTTGCTTGTACCATTCTTGAACCCCTTTTCTTTAACTTGACTATTACTACTAATTGGTTAAGAGCTGAAAACACGAGATATCCAAATTAGTATTACTGAGTTACAATCAGGAGTATTCTCTGACTGGCTAGCCTGCTTTGGCTTCTTGTTGCCAGTTTAGCTGTGGCTGTGCCTCTTTTGCTTATTTCCTTATTTTTATAAATGTTAGAATGTGGAGGTTTGTGGATAAATGGTGCCCAAAAAGTGAGGTGTTGCCACAATGACATTTCTTACTGAGGACAAATATTCTTCATTATGTGCAGTTTCTTCCAGTCTTCTGAAGGCTTTTTCTTCATGTTTGTTTTTATTTGTGATTACAAGTGAAAACTGGTGTAGAGATAAATAGGGATGCTTACAATTTGCTTTGCCTATTACCATGAGATTATATATCCATGTACAATTTTTATGATAAATGTATATTTACTGTGGTTTGCAGAAAGTGACATTTCAAAAGGCCCAGGAACACTCTGTCAAGACAGCCCGTTTGCCAATCCAGGAATACATGGTCAGGCGCCAGAATGAGAAAAACTATCATTCAGAGATATTGGCCATCAATCAAGGTAGTTACTGTTCACATGGCCCACACTGAATTGTGTTGAAGTGTAAGTGCCCCTTGAATTAGTGTGCTGTGACAAATATGCCTGGACTTTACTGCGTGCATCTTGTGATATATATTCTGGCCACCAGGAGGCATTCTGTACTTTCTGGTCTTCATCTATGTTAAAGATAGTTGAAATTATCCCTTTTGCCCAGGATGCCCTTCCTTCAACCCCTGATTGATGAGTGAATTCCTGTTTGCTTTTCAGGATTCAGTTCAAGAGCATCTTAGCTGGCTTCCCTACCCTCCCAGGCCATCGGGGCCCCTTTGTTGTGTCCTTGTGATACTGGTCCTTGGATTGCAGCATTGTCTGTTCACAAGCCTGTATCTCTCAGTGTAGGCCAAGGTCCTCTTGAGCAAGCAGAGTTGTGTTATTGCTTCTGTCCTCCCAAGACCCAGTCCCGTATGTGATGCAGTGTAATATTTCACATCTTTTCTCACTAGGCATTTACTTGCTCTCTTTTCCCTAATGGTCATTTTGTTTTCTGTTTACCTTCTAACAGTATTTGATATCCTGTCCACTTTCTTTGATACTCACAACTGGCCTGAAGCACTGAAGAAAGGAGTTTCTCCAGGAAAAGGCTATGTGCTTCAGAATTCAAAGGAATGACAACAGCCTGAGATGTCTTCACCAAAGAACAGGGCAGAATGCAGCAGGGGCACACAAACTTGCCTCTGCTTGACCGTCTTTGGCTCTTTATAGTATAAGCTACTGATGGCATATTTTATGCTTTTGTATCACCTATGGTGCCTGGCTCACAGGAGGTACCCTGATTAATGTTAAGTTTACCTAATGAGGACTTAGCCCTATAACCACATGGCTATGGATATGTCAATTCATCTTTTATATCTATTTGTGAAAGACCTGCTTTAGATTAATATTAAATATTAAGCTTAATTTTCACTAAACTGGCATGAAGTTTTACGTTTTCTTCCTCTGAACGTGCTGATTGTTCCCCAACTAAGTGACATGCTACACGTAAGCTTTGGAGGATCAGCTTGGCCTGGCCCTCTTTTTGAGCCCTCATAGCACTTTGTTCCCTCCTGTGGCTCTTACCCTATTTCCCTTGAGTATGGGCAAGTGAAGCTTCTCTCTTCCAGTGTGTGAATAGCTCTGGATCCTTCTGAGCTTGTACATGACATTACTCATATATATATTAGTAATTAACAGAGCAAGCTGAAAGTCGTTGCATTCTGACGTGTAAGCTTACTAGATAATCTACCACTTACTGTACTAACATCATTAGACTTTTCTCGTATCTTAGATATAACTGCTGCAGTTGTTTTTACTAGTTTTAGTTAGTTGACTTGCTGGTTAAGCTGCCAGAAAATTCAGAAAATACGTTCTACGTCTCAGAACCACCAAAAGTTACTTCTCTGCTTCACCCCCACCCCTTTACCATTTAATCCCTCAGGAACTGCGATCACTTGATAAATTATGTGTTTTCATTATTTAAAAACAAGCCAATCTTCAAAAAACATCTTTTTGACCATATAGTATAATGCTTCTTGGTCCCTTTCAACATATTGAATGAGTTTATAATCTCTTTCATCCCGAAAGGACTATCTATGGCGAGGCTTCAGGGGCATCTGTAACTCATATTCTGAGGTCTGTGACCCCAAAACCATGGAACTTTTCTCATCTGCCAGTCTTCATTTTTACTTATAAAGGCTTTGTTAATATACCAGATGGCATGAAAGAATTTTTTTCCAGGGTCTGGGGATTTAGCTCAGCAGTTTGGTGGCCTGCCTTGCAAGAGCGCAAGGACCCAAGTTCCATCCCCAGTACCAAAAAAAAAAAAAAGAACTTTTTTCCAGTTCCCTTTGCTTCAAAACCCAAGCAAGTAGCTTTTCATTTGGCTACTAGGAAATTACTTTAGCAAAAATAACATTTGGCCATACTTGGATTCAGAGAATCCTGATCACCATGTTAGATAAAAACAAAAAAATTGAGTATGTCCAAAATATCCTGTAACATGAAAATAAAATATAATGCAATTGTTTAATTTTTAGTAATTATGAAAATGTTATGTTGTAGTGTTCAAAAGTGTATTGCAAGCCAGGCATGGTGGCACACGTCTATAATCCCAGCAGTCGGGAGGTTGAGGCAGGAGGATTGCTGTGAGTTCGAGACCAGCCTGAGCTACATAGTTCCAGGTCAGTCTCAACTACATAGTGAGACCCTGCCTCAAAGAGGGAAAAAAAAAAAACCC